TTGGATCTAAATTATTATAAAATGGTTTATAATAGATTATCTATCGATCAATGTGGTGTTGTGATTGATTTTAATAGGCCTTATATTATTCAAGTTGCAAGATTTGATCCCAGTAAAGGTATATTTAATAAAGTTAGTAACTTAAAACATATTGAACGATTTAAATGAATAAGGAATAATTCTATCTAGGCATTCCACTTGTAATTGAATCATTCAAGATATTCCGTGATAAGCTTAAAAAAGAGGGCTGGCCCTCTGAAAAAATGCCTTCACTAATAATTTGTGGTGCTAGTAGCATTGATGACCCAGATGGTAGCCCAATTTTTGAGCAAACCTGCATGTTATTGCAACGGCCCGAATATGCTGACATTGCAGATGATGTTTCAGTTGTTCGTCTTCCAGCATGTGATCAGATATTTAATGCTATGTTAAGGTGTGCTCGTGTCGCGTTGCAGCTTAGTACGAGGGAAGGATTTGAGGTTAAAGTCACAGAAGCCTTGGCTAAAGGTATTTTAAACATTCATTTGATATTGATTTTATTTGGCATTTTATTTGATATTTTATTTATAGTTTTTTTTTTTTTTTTTTTATCCATTTGCAGGTGTTCCAGTAGTGGCATTTAAAGCTGGTATGAAATCACAGTGAATTCTTTGGTTTATATTTTATAGTTTTTTGTAATATTTACATTCTGTATCTTTTGTATTTATTAAGGTGGCATCCCACTTCAAATCAAGCATGGAGAAACTGGATTTCTCGTTGATATTTGCGATACAGCTCAAGTAGCAAATCATTTATTTGCTTTATTTACAAATGATGAGTTATATAAAAAGATGTCATTTTTAGGAAGATCAACTTTAAATGAACAATATTTTACAGTTTTTCAAACAGTAAATTGGTTATATTTGATTGACACATTTGCATCAATAAAATGGAAAAATTCGACAAGCAATACTAATGATATTGTAATAGGAAATGCTAAATGGGTTAAAGATCTTTGGACAAAACAATATGGGTCAGATAACTTGGGACAGAACAATATGGGTTTACATCTTTGAAGAGATTTTAAGTGTATATGAGAAATAAGGATAATGGTAACGAATAATTTCTACAGTTAACTACTATACCAGATTTAGAAATCTGGCAATAGACTTATTTATTTATTTGATCTGTATAATTAATAAATCTTATATATATCATATTTAATTAATTTATTTAATTTAATTATACATAACTCGATCTTTATGTCGATTTTAATTCCCGTTGGTTATTAATTGGTATGTGTTAGAGATACACCTCACGAGAGGTAAAATCAGCATACATTTTACAAATCATATGGGTCTTTTCTTTGAAATGACATAGCAATTACTGTATCTCATAGGGTCACTTTCAAGGCGAAAACCCCATATGACTTCGCGTGAAGTGCGAGGTTACCCAAATTTTAAGTTCACGGACTATAGCTCAAATCTTTTTTTATACTTGATAAATTATTAATCCCAAACCGTCTAAAAAATCCTGACCAGATCAACCGTCGGTTGAGCAATAAGCCAACCGGTTGAGAATCGGTTGGTTGAAAATCGGGTCAACTATCGGTTGAGCGACAAGCCAACCGCTTGAGAACCAGCCTGGCTAAAAAGTACAATATACCATCTAATGTCTACGAATATCTATGACCAATAAACCCAAACGCGTTTTAAACATCTATTATATTCAAGCATTAAACCTATCTAATAAGGTTAAACCATTAAATTTGAATTTAATTAGAATTTTCAAATTCAGTAAATAAATAATGAAACGGATTAAAATGAAATAAGGGTTTTTACAGTCAGGGATAGGGATGGATCAGTCCGTCCCAGTCAGTCCCAGTCCTTATTGGACCGATTTTATAATGTTTTTCAGTCTGGTCGGTCCGTCTTTCAGTCCCAGAATTGGTCTCACGACTTATACATAACGTTAAAACTTTTATTTATTTATTAGGGCCAAATTTTTATTAATTAGCAGCAAATTTTTAATATATTTATTTCAAAAAAATACAGCACACATAAATATGGATATAAATATTATATATGCGAAGCTAATTTAACATGAAGAATTAAGCATATG